CCCTGGCAAGCGCAAGGGCCTGAGTTCAATCCCCGGTTGCGCCAAAAAAAAAAAAAAAAAAGAAAGAAATTACCCTTCCAGTGATGGAATAAAGGAGTCCCTGAGGCTGGGCATGGTGGTGCACAGCTGTAGTCCCAGCATTCAGGTGCCTGAGACAGGAGAATCTCAGCAGGTTTGAGCCAGCCTGGGCTACACAGCGAGTTCAAGACCAGTCTGTATTACATAGTGAGACTCCATCTCAAAAAAAGAAAGAAAGAAAGAAAGAAAGAAAGAAAGAAAGAAAAAGAAAAGACGGCGTGGTGGCGTGTGCCTGTAATCCCAGCTCTTGGGAGGCTGTAAACAGGTGAATCAATGAGTCCAATCTAGTAGTGAGACCCTGAATACCCTGTAGACCCTTCCCTAACATAAAAAAAAAAAAAAAAAAAAAAGAATCCAGAGAAGGGGTCAGGTGTCAGATAGCTCTAGAATAAGTGCTTGCCTCGCAAGCACAGGGTCCTGAGTTCAATCCCCGGTACTGAAAAAGAAAAGAAAAAAAGAAAAAGAAAGAAAGAAAAAGAGATAAAGACAAAAAAAACTTTTAGGAAAATATTATTATTGCATTACTGAGGATCATACCGATGGACTTTGCACTGAGCTACATCCCCAGCCCTTTTTTATTTAATTAATTTATTTATTTTTGGCGGAGCTGGGGATTGAACTCAGGCTCTTACACTTGCCAGGGAAGCGCTTTCCACCAAGCTGTCTCCCTGGCCCCATTTTTTAGCTTTTTTTTTTTTCCCTATTTTATTTTTAGAGAGGGTTTCACTTGCTTGCTAAATTGGCCAGAATGGGCTCACATTTGTTATCCTCCCACCATAAATTTTCAGAGTGGTGGGTTTACTGGTGTGTGGCACTTTGCCCAGCTATCTTTTCTTCTTCTTTTTTTTATAAATCTTTTCTTTCTTTTTATATTTCTTTTTTTTTTTTTTTTGGCGGAACTGGGGATTGAACTCAGACACTTACGCTTGCCAGGCAAGTACTTATTCTACTGAGCTAACTCCCCGGCCCTTTGAATTTCTTTTTGAGACAGGTTTTTTTTTCTTTTTAAAATCTTTTATTTTATTTGGTATATGGTTTTGTTACATGGTACCCGGGATCGAACTCTGGTCCTTGTGCTTGCTAGACAGGCAGTCAGACCATTGAGCTATCTCTCCAGCCTGAGACAGGGTTTTGATATGCAGTTCAGGCTGCCTTGAACTTGCAGTAATCTTCCTGCCTCAGCCTCCAGAGTGGTGGGATTATAGACTTGCACCACTATGCCTGGCCTCTTTGTGTGTGTGTGTGTGTGTGTGTGTGTGTGTGTGTGTGTGTATGTGTGTGTGTGTGGTTGGCTCAGCATGTGTCAAGGATCAAACTGTGGTCCCTGCACTGGCCTAAGCAGGTGCTTTAGACTGCTGAGCTATCTCACCCTCCCAGGCCTTGTTTTGTTTTGTTTTTTCTTTTTTAGGCCTGTTTTCTTTAAGGTGCTGCTTTTTAACCCAGGGCCTCCCACTTGCTAGGCCTGCGTTGTACCCCTCAGCCACACCCCATCCAGTGAGCACTCAGAGAGGCCTCTACCCCAACCCAGAAGAAGCCCTGTGAGGCAGCTGGCTGGTCACCCTGGGGAGCACTGGGTGTGGTGCCACCATTGTGAATTCTCCTTGTCACTGTCATTAAAAAAACAGAAACACACACACACACCCAAATAATATCAAATTTTTCTTTTTCTTTTTTTTTGATACAGGGTCTTGCTATGCAGTTTGGTCTCATAGTGATCTCCTGTCTCAGCCTCCTGTAGTGCTGGGATTACAGGTGTGTATTACCATTGAGGATCAAACTTGGGACCTTGTGCTTGCCAGGCAGGTGATTATGCTGCCGAGCTATCTCCCTAAACCTTTTTTGTCTTTTATGATGGGGTTTCACTATGCAGTTCTGGCTGGCCTTGAACTCTTTGTAGCCTATGCTGGCTTCAAACTCACAGGGATCCTCCTGCCTCAGCCTCCCCAAGTGCTGGGATTATAGGTATGTACCACCACCCATGCCTACCAAAACTAAAAGGTACACACACACACACACACACACCTGCTTGCCTTCCCTACATCAGCTAGGACAGTGTTTTTCACTTTAGCAAAAGAAGACAGGTATTTCTGCTTTGTCTTCTCTTGGCCTGACCATTATCATTCCATTGTGTTGTACAAGTATCTGTGTGGGGGGCTGGTGAGATGGCTCAGTGGTCTAAAGCACCTACTTAGAACAAGCTTAGCAAAGCACAGGGACCACGGTTCAATCCCCCAGCACCACATGCCAGCCAGCCCCACCCCCTGGTGGGCTGAGCTGGCCACACACACACACACACACACACACACAAATAAATGAATAAATTAAAAAAAAAAAAAAAGTATCTGTGTGTGTGTGTGAGAGAGAGAGAGAGAGAGAGAGAGAGAGAGAGTTTGTGTGTATTTGTCCCCCCAAAGCCTCATGCAGTCATTGGGAAGCGGTTCTACAGTTGGCAATTAATTCATGATCCAAGGTTGGGATTATGGGTCTATACCCAGCCTAGGGAGGATGGCCTGAATGTACTATAAGAGAGAGAGACAGACTTGCTCTTTGTAGCCATTGTTGCTGCTGCTACTCCATTTTGCTCTTTCTTCTTTGCCACCGCTCAGCCCTTTTTAAAGTTGGTCCCCCCTCACCAGAGATTGTAAAGTTTTGTTTTTGTTTTTTGACAGAACCAGGGATTGAACTCAGGCCCTTGGGCCTGACAGGGAAGCGCTTATTCTACTAAGCTATCTTCCTTGGCCCCCTTTTTTCTTGGGGGTGAACCTGGGATTGAACTCAGGCCCTTGCGCTTCCAGGGAAGTGCTTATTCTACACAGCCATCTCTCCGGCCCCTGTAAGGTTTTGATTTTGAGACAAAATCAGGGGCCAGGGAGATAGCTCAGTAGAATAAGCGCTTGCCTGGCAAGCGCAAGGGCATGAGTTCAATCCCTGGTTCCACAAAAAAAAAAAAAAAGAGAGACAAAATGAAAATTTTGCTAAGTTGTTCAGGTTGGGCTCTAACTTGGGATCCTCCTGCCTCAGCTTCTGGAGTAGCTTCAATTACAGGATTAATGCCATCATACCAGAATCAATACCTTTTTTTTTGTAAATCCAGGGATTGAAATCAGGGATCCTCCACATTTTTTGGAGACAGACCCAAGGAACTGATCTTGCGGGCCAGAACAGACATGGTGCCAACTTCACCACTGGTGCACCTCAGGTTCATGACTTTTATCTCTTTGAGGTTGAACTTGGGTGGCATGCTGGAGGTGGCTGGTGTCGGATGAACCCGGATTCCGGACGACTAAAGAAAGTTTCACCTTAGCCTCCTCCTAGCCAAAGGCCGAAAAGCCTTATTTACTTCTTTAAATTTTTTTTTTTTTTTTTTGCAGAACCAGGGATTGAACTCAGACCCTTGTGCTTCTCAGGGAAGCGCTTAGTCTACTGAGCCAACTCCTTGGCCCCTAAAAAATATTTTATTTATTTGATACAGGGTCTGGCTATCCAATTTGGACTTGTAGTGATCCTCTTGTCTCAGCCTTCTCAGCACTGAGATTACAGGTGTGTACCACCATTCCCGGTTTTGGTGGCTGGCTTGGCACGGGACCAGCACGGCCCAGAGATCGAACCTGGATCTTTGTGCTTGCTAGGCAGGTGCTTAGAATGCCGAGGTATCTCCCAGCCTCTTTCTTTCTTTGTTTCTTTTTTTTTTTTTTTTCCGAACCAGGGATTGAACTCAGGCTCTTGCACTTGCCAGGGAAGCGCTTATTCAACTGAGCCATCTCCCCGGTCTCTATAGCATGATTTAATTTTTTTTTTTTTTTTTTTTAACCAGGGATTGAACTCAGGCTCTTGCACTTGCCAGGCAAGCGCATGATTTAATTTGTAAGGGAAGAAAAATCAATCTGCATATATATTAGCAAAGGCAGCAAATAGCTTCAGGATGCGAAATAAACTACTCACAGTGGTAGCCTGATCTGAGCCATGGGCATGTTATCCACCCAAACCAGGATGAATGGTGGGGGGGAAGGGGGGATGCGGGCGTTTGTACGTGCTTCCCCTCACCCCCGCCATGCTTTTTTATTGTGCCTTTAACCCCATTTTCTTTTCTTTTCTTTACTTTTTTTCTTTTTTTGGAGGGTGTAGAACTGGAGATTGAACTCAAGCCCGTGCACTTGCCAGGCAGGAAGGTGATTTTTTTGAGACAAGGTCTCTCACTCTGTAGCCCAGGCTGGCCTCAAACTCAGCAATCCTCCTGCTCACCACACCCGGCCTTAGGAAGATCATTTTGAAGACAAGGGCAGTACTTTCAACATGCACATGATCTTAAACCCACGAAGAGAGAAAGACAAGTGTGAGTCATACATTTTGTTTCCTAGTGGGAGTGGGCGCAGCAGGGCCTTTGCCCTGAGCTGCATCTCCAGCTTTTTTTTTTTTTGAAAGGTCAAAATTTGGACTCAGGGGCTGGGAAGATAGCTCAGTAGAGTATGCGCTGCCCTGACAAGCACAAGGGCCTGAGTTCAATACCTGGTTCTGCCAAAAAACCAAAAATAAAAACAAAAAAACCAGGGCTGGGGAGATGGCTCGGTGGAATAAGGGCTTCCCTAGCAAGCACAAGGGCCTGAGTTCAATTCCTGGTTCCACAAAAAAACCAAAAAAACAAAATTTATGATACTCTTACCTCAGCCTCCCAGAGTGCTGCATTCCCATACCTTTCTTTTTAGAGCCGTTTTTATTCATCATCTAATCAACACAGGTGGTCAATTGGAACCAAAAGAAGACAGCCTCTAAAGGCCTATTACAGTGCAACAGGACTGAACCAGGGGAGGGGGCAGTTCTTTCTGGGAAGACCAAGCATGTCTGTACGCAGGTCTCTCTCCCTCAGTAAACTTGACTGGCAAGGCACCACCATCACCAATCCCCCATGTGCACAGCCCCGCCCCCCACAGTCATAAGGAGCTCTGCGTTTGGGAAGGAGGAGGTGGGCAGCAGCGTGTCATTTGCATCACGGCACCATTTGTTTCCTCTGGAACTTTTATTGGCATCGATGAATCTGAGATGCAACAGCCTGTCAGAAAAATTTAAAACTTATCCTGGGAGGTAGGTGGTGGTGGTCTCCTTAACAAGGAGTTTGCAGGGAAGTTGTATGGGGCTCTTTAAGTAGTTCATTCTGTTGTTTTTCAGAAATCTTTTACATGTGGGCTCTCAAGAAGCCAGAGGACAGTGTGGGGCGCCCATGGCCTGCAGGAGGGGTCTCTGGAGCTGTTCCTAGTCAAAGGGAGAGGTATTGCTGGGACAGGAGTCAGCTCAAACACTCCATGCTGGCTCTGACTCGCTCCATCTCATGCAGGAAACTGTAGAACTGAGGCAAGGTTAATTCTGGGGAAAGAAAACTCAGCGTCGGTGAGATACTTCCAACTCAGCAGAATCACCCAAGGAAATTCTTTTCTACCCCCCAAATTTTTTTTTTTCCTTTAGTGCTGGGATGGAACCCAGAGCCTCATGCATACTAGACAAGTGCTCTGCCACTGAGCTGTACCTCAGCCCCTGTTGTTTGTCTATCTTTTGGTTTACTGAAGACAAGCTGCCCTTGAGGGGTAATTGTTCAGAATAAAGAACCAAGAGCCTTGGGGCTGGTGAGATAGCTCAAGGGCATAAGCGCCTGCCTGGCAAGTGTAAGGTCCTGAGTTCAATCCCCAGTACCACAAAAAAAAAAAAAAAAAAAAAAAAAAAAAAAAGAACCAAGAGACTTGAGCACAGAGGAACTTGGCTCCACTGCAGAAGGGGGTGTGGAATTAAAATGGCACAGCTCATAAAGGGATTATTGTATAATATACTTTTTTTTTTTTCTCCGAATGCCTTCAGGGCAGGTTTGGCTGGCTTGAGTTGTGGGGATTGAGCCACAGCAACCTGAGCCTGACTGCTTTGTTGAAGCAGCCACTTAAAGAACTGAGCTAATGGGGCTGGTGGGATGGCTCAGTGGTCTAAGGCACCTACTTGGAACGGGCTTGGCAGAGCACAGGGACCGCGGTTCAATCCCCCAGCACCACATGCCAGCCAGCTCCGCCCCCTGGTGGGCTGAGCTGGCCACACACACACACACACACACACACACAAATAAAATAAAAATAAAAAATTCATTTAAAAAAGAACTGAGCTAAGGGGCAGGCCCCCTAATATACCTATTATATGATACATGCATATAATATACCTATTATATAGGTATATTATATGCATGTATCAGTTCCCTGCAAGAAATCATCATTCTATATTATAAATATGCACTAAAAATTAAAATATGAAATAAAAAATAAAATATGAAATCAGATGGACCAACTCCACAGCACAGGGATGAAAGGACATACCACTTAGGGTGCTCCAGGTGACTTCTACAGCTCTTGCTGTAGCATGAGAATTATGCTTCATTCGGCTCAAATTCCAGTCATTCCCTCTCCATTCCCTTTACCAAAAAACCTTGTCACCTGTGCAGTCACCAGCCTGCTGATGGCTCATACCGTTTTTTTATGAAAGCAAAGGCAGATGAATTATTCCTCCACAGAGTAGTGGTGGCTTTTCTCAGGAATGCACACACCAGCCCAACAAGCTGAGGAGGACACAGATGTGGAAGAGCACAAATGAAATCCAGACTTACCTAAATACAAATTTTCAATTTGATTTCCTTTCTTAACCACCAACTTTAGCTAGTTATTAGAGAGAGAGAGAGAGAGAGAGAGAGAGAGAGAGAGAGAGAGAGAGAATATAGAAATTAAAATAAGGACACCTAGGCAAAGAAATTCTCAAAAACCCGACAAGCTACTTCAGCTGTCCCAGGGCCCCTTGCCTGCTAAGCACATGCTCTAACTCTGAGCTCCAACCCTGCTGCACAGTGTCTGGCTTGAGAATCCGTAGAAGTGCTCTGGACTGTTAGCCACTAAAATTTCTTTTTTTCTTTTTTTGGTGGAACCGGGAATTGAACTCAGGCTTGCCAGGGAAGCGCTTATTCCACTGAGTTATCTCCCCGGCCCCATTACTAAAATTTCTATGACTCAGGTTTCTATCATTTCTAGATTCACTGAAATCATAGTTTCTATGATTCTAAGAAGATCCAGGATTTTTTCTTTTCAACAGTACCAAGGATAGAATCCATGGGTACTCTATCATTGAGCTACACTGGAGCCTTTTTTAAAAAAATATTTATTTATTTGTGTGTGTGGCCAGCTCAGCCCACCAGGGGGCGGGGCTGGCAGGCATGTGGTGCTGGGGGATTGAACCGTGGTCCCTGTGCTTTGCTAAGCCTGCTCTAAGTAGGTGCTTTAGACCACTGAGCCATTTCACTAGCCCCTGGAGCCTTTTTTATTTTGGGACAAAGTCTTGCTAAATTGCCACACTGACCTCAGACTTGCTATCCTCCAGCCGGCCTCAGTTCCCGAGTAGCTGGGATTATAGGTATATACCACCACTCCTGGCTGCATTTAAATTCTCTTTTGTTTTGGTACTGGGAATTCAACCTAGTATCTCTGCAGTAAACTATATCCACAGCCTTTTTTTAAAAAAGTTTTTCTATAGACTTTTTTTGTTACTGTTGTGGTTTTCTTTTTAATTTTGAGATGGAACGTTGTTAAATTCCTCAGACTAAGCTTGAATTTGTGATCCTTTTGCCTTAGCCACTTATAGTGTTAGGATTACAGTGCATACCACCACACCCAGCTTACATTTAACATATTTTTCCAAGTCAAAGGACTGGGAATATAGCTCAATGGTACAAGTACCTGCCTGGCAAACACAAGGCCCTGAATTTGATTTCCAGTACAAAAAAAAAAAAAGTCAAAAATCTTCCTATTTGGGTCGGCCAAATACCTCAGCAGATTAATGCACTTGCAAGCAGGCGCAGGGGCCAGGGGTTTGATCCTCAGGCCTGCTGTGCTGGCCCTGCCCCGGGGCACGCTGAGGCACAATTGAGACTGGGCATGGTGGTGTATGCCTGTAATCCCAGCTCTTGGGAGGCTGTAAACAGGCAGATCACTATGAGTCTGATCTAGTAGTGAGACTCTGAACACCCTGTAGACCCTTCCCTAAAATACAGAAAAAAAAAAAAAAAAAAAAAAAAAAACCTTCTTATTTTTGAAGATTAAGAAAAGACTTACTTGTAAAAAAATACTTCCCACTTTCTCCAATTCACTGCTCCCAGATGTTACTGCAATACAAAAGAAAAAAGTCATAAGTGATTGGGGACTTCCCTGAAGACACCAACTCTGCAGGCTGTCCAGCAGCAAGATCTGCTCTTGAGCAACTGGTCAACCCTGTGATGAACAAGGGCCGGGGTGGAAGCCATTGCTGAATGTGGAGGCCGTTCACGGCAGCTGCAGGCCCCAGCTGTGTGGGAGCCAGGTCCCACCCCGCCAAGGGCTCCCCACTGAGGGTCCTCAAAAGCTTCTGGAACTCAAGCCCCAGGAGCCCAGGGAACCAGGACTGGTTACCTCCGAACTTCCATTCCATATCAACAAGCTGGTTGATCATCAGGGTCTGACCTACTGCCCATCGAGCAAGGGCAGGGGCGTTCTGTTTCCACTAGAACAAGAGCAAAGAGCCAGAGTCAGCACCATGCTGGAAAGTCCAACTGCCTAGCCGAGGGCTTGGCCGTACACAGGTCTCTCGGGTAGGCAGGGGCAGAGCAGTGTAGGACATGCAGAAGTTTCCCTTCACGCCAAGATCTTACCCATGTTGGAACAGAAACTATGATATATATATATATATATTCCCCCCCCCCCCACCAGGGATTGAACTCAGGCCCTTGCACTTGCCAGGGAAGCACTTATTCCACTGAGTCATCTCCCTGGCCCCACTATGATGTATATGTAGTAAGTCAAATCAGAGAGCAAAACCAGAGATGCACTATACAGTGCTGGTTAAAATCTGTATTTGTGTTATTCTGTAAAACCAAATGAAATGATGCATTGAGGGATCTGCCTTGGTTGGTATTTTCCATTTTTTTCTTTTTATGAAATGAAAGACAAACATCTTAACCTTGGTTAAGAGCAATTATACCTTTTCAGAAAAGTAAGCGGCTTTCTCCTCGCTAAGACCTGAAAGGGAAAAGTAGGCTCATTAACACAGAGAAAAGCCACAGAGGCCTTCTCCCAGTGACCGTGACCTACCCAGGGTTATGAAGTCTGCCTGCACCTGCTCAGCCGTGAGGCTCTTCTTCAGGGCACCTGGGAAGAGAGGGACAAATCATGACAAAGGGCAAATCACTAAATCATTTGGCAATAAGCACTTGACAGGCACAACCTATGTGACACAGAGGACAGAGGAATACAACCCATGAGGATTGCAAGTGGGAGAGAAAATGTGTTTCCATAACCAGGTTTGCTCCTGCGCAACAGGTTAGTTGCCTCCCAACACCCACAGGAGACAACAGATTCCATGTGTGGCTATTCATTGAATGTATTTTAGGAAAGGGTCTACATGGTGTTCAGGGTCTCACTACTAGATCAGACTCACAGTGATCTGCCTGTTGACAGCCTCCCAAGAGCTGGGATTACAGGTGCGTGCTACCAGACCAACTCTCAAATGCCATTTCAGCATGCCCTGGGGGCGGGGCCAGCCCAGCAGGCCTGGGGATCAAACCCCCGACCCCTGCGCCTGCTTGTAGGTGCTTTAATCCACTGAGCTATTTGGCTGGCCCTTACTGATTGAATGTGGTCACTTACATTTTATTTATTTATTTATTTTTTTGTGGAACCAGGGATTGAACTCAGGCCCTTGCGCTTGCCAGGGAAGCGCTTATTCCACTGAGCCATCTCCCCAGCCCCTATATTTTATTTTTTTGGCCAGCTCAGCCCATCCCAAGAGGAGGGCTGGCGCGGCATGTGGTAGCAGGGACTGAACTGCGGTCCAGTCCATTGTGCCTGCCTAAGCTTGCCTCAGCAAGCGCTTTAGATCGCTGAACTATCTTGCTGGCCTCTCACATTTTTTTAAATATATTTTTTAAATATATATTTTTTAAATTTTTTATTTGTGTGTGTGTGTGTGTGTGTGTGTGTGTGTGGCCAGCTCAGCCCACCAGGGGGCGGGGCTGGCTGGCATGTGGTGCTGGGGGATTGAACCGTGGTCCCTGTGCTTTGCTAAGCTTGTTCTAAGTAGGTGCTTTAGACCACTGAGCCATCTCACCTGCCCATGCTTTTTTTTTTTTTTTTTTGTAGAACCGGGGATTGAGCTCAGATCCTTGCATTTGCCAGTCAAGCGCTTATCCTACTGAGCCATCTCCCCGGCCCCTGCCCATACATTTTAATTAAAATTTGGAAGTCCAAATTGTGGTGGCACCAGCCCTCTCAAGTGCTCCGACAGCCACACAGAGCCAGTGACTGCTCCACAGATGGTGCAGCTTATAGACCATTTTCATCCTCGCTGAGGTCCTGCGGTGCTGTTCCTGGAACTCAGCTTTTCCACAGAACACCACAGCTGGGCTGAACAGTCGTGTTCCACAGTGCAGAAGCCACACACGGAGGTGCTGTTTCGTCTCCCCATCTCTCCATCTCCCTGTCTCCTAGTCCTCCCTCAGAGATCTAGTAACATTCCCCCCACCAGGGACAGCTTTGTTCTGCATGTAGGTTCCAATTCCTAAAACCAAATGAATCTGACTGAGCGGGGGAGATAGCTCAGTCAAATAAGCACTTGCCTGGCAAGCACAAGGTCCTGAGTTCAATCCCTGGTACCGCAAAAAAAAAAAAAAAAAAAAAAAACCAGCAAAGTGTGGCCAGCACCCTTGGCTTCTCAACACTCAAACTTGAAGCCACCGTCTAGAGTCACAATTTAGCAAGTATTTTGTTCTTTCCTGTTTCTCAATTACCAGATGATTAATGAAGGACTAAGAAGATGCCTATTACCATCAAGTGAAAGGTCTGAAATAAACCTATACCTTATGCCCCCCAAAAAGAAACAGACTGGCATTGAGGCCGGTGAGATAGCTCAGTGGACTAAGCACCTGCTTTGGCAAGCACAGGGACCAGGGTTTGATTCCCACCCCCAGGGTGCACTGAGCCAGTGACAGAGTTTGGCCATGGTGGCACATGCCTGTAATTCCTACACTGGGGAGGCTGAAAACAGGAGGATCACCACAAGTCTGATCTGCGCAGTAGAAAGAAAGAAAGAAAGAAAGAAAGAAAGAAAGAAAGAAAGAAAGAAAGAAAGAAAGAGGAGGGCTTGGCAAATAGCTCAATGCATTAAAGTGCCTGCTTAGGCAGACTCAAGAGCTGGGAGTTCGATCCTGGGGCTTGCCATGCTGGCCCCGCCCCCAGGGTGCACTGAGACAGCAATTGAGACTGGGCATTGTGGCCTGCACCTGTAATCCCAGCACTTGGGAGGCTGTAAACAGGAGGATAGGAGCCGGGGAGATAGCTCAGTGGAATAAGCACTTCCCTGGC